ACACGAAGTTTGAGCAAGCTCTACCACAAAAATTTTGGTGCCCGGATAGCCGAATAACGCCAAACTAATATCGAACTCGTAATCAGCATGCTCGATTACCCCACTGTGCAAACTCCCAGCCCTGTAGCTCAAACTTTCCAAAACAATCAAAAGAATCGATAAAAATAGTGGACGATTTCAAAAGCTAATATTGTGTTCGGAATCCCATGCTCGATTACCCCCCTGTGCAAACTCCCAGCCCCGTAGCTCAAACTTTGTAAGAAAATCGATAAAATCGATAAAAGTAATCGATAATCCTGAAAACTAACATTGTATTCTCCATGCTCGATTACCCCCCTGTGCAAACTCCCAGCCTCGTAGGTGAGCTCTGCAAAAAAATCGATAAAAGTCGATAAAATCGATATCGATCGATGACGAAAAGTAGCCTATGACACCCGCAGGGGCCCGAAGTGTATGTGTGCCAAGTTTGGTCCGGATCGGTTTAGAAATGGAATTTTCTATTCGGAACATACGTACACACAGACAGACAGACAGACATACAGACATACAAACAGACATTCAGCTTTATATATAAGATTGATGATTATATTTTGAGTATAGTCTAAATCCTCAAGTTGTTTAAAAAGCATTAATAGTCTATGTAGAAAATTTTCAAATTTTGTACATGTTCTGTAAATCCTCAGAATTTCACTGTATATAATGGATGTTTCAACCTTAACACTTATGTGTGAAAACGCATGTGTAAATCTATTAACTTTTAACGCAAAGTAATCTGTTTTGTTGTATTGTTGCGTAATAATTTTATTATTTACAATTCTTATATTTGAATCAAGAAAGTCACATTTTAATTCGCTTTGGTGCGTATTCTTCAACTCTAATATATTATTGTAAGTGTCAATCAACCATTTATTTATCCTTTTCTCTTCTAAATTATGTATAATCAATAAATCGTCCATATATCTGAAAGGTTTGAACAAGATATCATTTTTATGATGATTAATGGCAAATTTATATTCAAAATAAGATAACGTCAAATCTGCAAGAATAGGGCTGGCATTACCCCCTTGTGGAACTCCTACTTTTTGTATAAACTATGCTAGCGACCCGTAGGGTCGCTAGCAAGTGGGTCAGGGCAGATACAATATAAGGGCTTAGCTGTGACTAAAAATATTTCTGAATAAGTTTTCTGTTCTTTTCCTGAGAACATTTTTGCGAAGAGGATTCTACAAAAGGAAAACTGCTCGAAGAAGCGATAATTTCCACAAATCATTCAGCATTTCTCGAAATTCCTGCCAGAACCATGCATGATATTATTCTTATCTCGTTTACACGCTCTTTATGCAACTCCCCTCCTCACAGAGACATTCAGATACCCCCCCCCACTTTTCTACCCTCTCAAAGAGAATTTGTTCTTTCAGTTCTTCTCAACAAATTCCATAAAAGATCGTTAAGTAAATAGCAGAACATCTATCGTTTTGGAAGTAGAAATACACCATAAGAATTAGTGTACTACAAAAAACACTTTTTCTCAGAATCAATTCCGACAGCAACGAAATCAATCGTCTAAGAACTTTGTTAAAGAATCCTTATTTTTTCGCTGAAGGAATATGAAGCTTTACTACAAAAGGGAGCCACCCAAAGACCGTCAATCATAAGAACTGCACAAACGTGTAAAAAATTTCTTTCCCTGTCCGATCAAATTGCCCTACGTGCCGTTTACAAACCAATTATCTATCTGAAAGACAGTTCATGCCCTACGCGGCGCTTAAAGACCGTTTAGGAATTATAAGAACTGCCCCAAACATACAAAAATCTGTTTCCCTGCTCGATCGGGTTGCCCTACGTGCCGCTTACAGACCGACATAACTATTCAAAAAAGTTTATGCCCTACGTGCCGCTTACAGACCGAGAGTAACTATTCAAAATGAAAGTTTATTCCCTAAGTGCCGCTTGGAGACCTACAAGAACTGCCATAACATACAAAAATCTGTTTCCCTGCCCGATCGGGTTGCCCTACGTGCCGCTTACAGAGCGATAGTAACTATAATAAAAGAAAGTTTATGCCCTACGTGCCGCTTGATAACCGTTCAAAAATTACAAGAACTGCCCCAAACATACAAAAATCTGTTTCCCTGCCCGATCGGGTTGCCCTACGTGCCGCTTACAGACCGAGAGTAACTATTCAAAATGAAAGTTTATTCCCTAAGTGCCGCTTGGAGACCTACAAGAACTGCCATAACATACAAAAATCTGTTTCCCTGCCCGATCGGGTTGCCCTACGTGCCGCTTACAGAGCGATAGTAACTATAATAAAAGAAAGTTTATGCCCTACGTGCCGCTTGATAACCGTTCAAAAATTACAAGAACTGCCCCAAACATACAAAAATCTGTTTCCCTGCCCGATCGGGTTGCCCTACGTGCCGCTTACAGACCGAGAGTAACTATTCAAAATGAAAGTTTATATCCTACGTGCCGCTTGAAGACCTACAAGAACTGCCATAACGTACAAAATTCTGTTTTTGCCCGATCGGTTGCCCTACGTGCCGCTTACAGACCGAGAGTAACTATTCAAAATGAAAGTTTATATCCTACGTGCCGCTTGAAGACCTACAAGAACTGCCATAACGTACAAAATTCTGTTTTTGCCCGATCGGTTGCCCTACGTGCCGCTTACAGACCGATAGTAACTATTCAAAAATAAAGTTTATTCCCTACGTGCCGCTTGATAACCGTTCAAAAATTACAAGAACTGCCCCAAACATAAAAAAAATCTGTTTCCCTGCCCGATCAGGTTGCCCTACGTGCCGCTTGAAGGCCGTTTAAAAATTATATGAACTGCCCCAAACATATAAAAATCTGTTTTCCTGCCTGATCGGGTTGCCCTAAGTGCCGCTTACAAACCGATAGTAACTATTCAAAAAGAAAGTTTATTCCCTACGTGCCGCTTAAAGACCGTTTAAAAATTATAAGAACTGCCCCAAACATACAAAAATCCGTCTCCCTGCCCGATCGGGTTTCAACAGACCTTTGTATACCAAAACGGTGACAAGTTTTCCTCTCCTGCACAGCAAACCTGCAGAAAATACAGCGCCTAGATATCACTGATCTCAGATCTCAGTAAAATAAAAACAAATTTCCTCACTCATCTTTCGTTTGTTTTGTTAGTTCTTTCAGACGTTCCGTTACATCTGCTCATTTGTATCTGCTATTTGTACCTACATGCGGATGTCATATTTGGAGTAAAATCTCTCTCACTGAGTGTTTTCAAGATACTAAACACCTCACACAGAAGAGTCGAATTTGTAATGAACTCAGTTTTAGCTCCGATGTTACCGGGAGTACGCTAGGCAAATTTCTACCTCGAAAATCCCCTTTCCATAGAAACAAAATTTTCGGCGATAACAATCGTATTAGAAGCAAATATCAAAGAACATAGAAGCACAAGAAATGATGATCCAATTGCGAAAGCACTTCCGGTCAGATTAGATTCCCCTCTCCATAGAAACTAAATCTTCGGCGATGACAATCTCTTATTAAGAGCAATCAAAGAACATATTCTCGAATGAGAAGAATTCAGAACAACAGTTATTGGAAGAAATTCTAGAATGAACGTGGAAATTAGAGCAGTTCCTAGGATGGTCAAAACTGCAGACGTGAAAAATAATGGCGATATCGATCGAAAACACGCCCGAAACATGCCGTTATGCATGTGTGTTGTTTCAGTTGCCATACTTACGAAATTTGGCACCGTTCCAAAGGCTTACGAAAATCTGGCATCGTGCCATTTGACTGACTTCAACTCGCCGCTATTGGCAGCAATCCAATTCCAAAGATCAGTGTATTTCATCATAATTTTTACGTCTGCGGCCTCCTCGTTTGCCATGATCCAACTATCGGCGGCTTAATGGGTAAACAACGAATTCGTTATATATTACGTAGTGATATGTGATTTGCAATTTTGCAATAGCTATTTTCTAATAGATATTGAAGGTACAAAATGTCTTCAATTTTATAAACCCTTTGTTTTGTTTTTTCATTATAGAGGTTACAGTCGCTAACTTTGTCATTGTTACAAACGACATATTTACTGTTACTATTTTTGAAACATATTTTAAGAATCTCTTTGAGATTACTGATAATGGTATTATGAGGAATGTTTGTAAACATGTTAGTGAAATCGGCTGAAAACAGTTTAAGGTTATTCGCATTAATGTAGTTAAATTTGTGGGAAGAAACCTATCATATCTCCAACACGGAATTTTTATTTCATTCACAGTATATGTATTGCCGCAATAGCTCGAAGCGAGATTCGGAGGTTTTCATAAGATATGGGAGGAAAGTGAGTAATATCCACGGTCGGGCGTGGGGGGAGGCGGTCGATTGATACCCGACCAGCCGCTTGCAGCCGCGCCGAGTGGTAATTAGCGAGGTGCGACGCAGCGTTAATTGCGCTGCGCTACGCTGCAGTCCTTCTCGCCTTCTAAATCTCTCTCCATTACAATCTCTCGTCATCGCGCTCTGAGGTGCGAGAAGAGGCGCGAGAAGACCTAGATCGCACTTCACACTTCAGATGGCAGATAGCAAATCAAACTACAATTACTATGGAATTTTTTATTATCATTTGACTGAACAATGCATGAATTCAAGACTACATGCAAAAAATCAGAAAATAGCTCCAAAATAAATCGAAATCTAGTTTCGGATGGCTCTAATTTAGCCAAAACAACGAAAACATGCAAATTATATAGTTTTTTCGGTTACAAACTTAGACATTGCCATGCAGTATGAGTTGATAGTCGCTGTGCTGATGCGATTTCCTGAGCGATACTCTTCTTTGAAGCTTTCCATAGCGGCAGCTATTCTTTGGCGGCGACGAACGTCTCGTCTTCGCAAAGGTTTTGTGCTGCGCGGATTCTAAAAAGTCGAATTGTAAGATTTTTTGATAGAATTTGATTAACTAACCTCTTCTATGTACAATAGTGTTCCTAGTGCGACGATGCTTATTCTCTGCAAGCATTGATGAGTTCCTCAAAGGGAGGATGCGTTTTTCTTGCTAACAATCCACGAAGTTTCCTATAAAAACCTTGAATTCTTAATCTTGAATCATGAATTTTTTTATCACTTACTTATGAAACACCTCCGCCGCGTTTGTCGTCCTCAATTCATCAATATCGAATTTGCACCACATATCGCGATAAACCCCGTGAAACCATGTTTCTTTTAAATAGTCCAAAAACTTGCAGGACAGATACGAAAAATGTCTCCTATTCACTGGAGGAAAGTTCAATGCCGGCACTCTTTCAATAAGGTTTTTTGGCAAAAAGATCACCACTTTATTGTGTTCCACCACTTTACTACGCTCCTAATTTTTTTGGCCTCCCGTATAAATTGTCTGAGCCCCAGGTGTTTTGCCAAGTGAAAGGCGCAACCCTGGAACTGTGCTTGTGGAAAAGCCTCTCTGGCAGATTTGATTGCTGCCTAAAATCGCGAAATGCTCAAAGAAACATTTTTCCTTCAAATTTAACTAAATTACCTTTTCGTAATCAAGGATGATCTTGAAATTTCCATTGCCCAGTCGTTGGCGCAAGCATTCAAAAATCTTCTTGTAAACGGCACGGTTTTCTGACGTGTAACAGCGAACGAAATTGGTATATAGAATGAAGATCGGTTTTTGCATTTCAAAATCAGATTTCATAACAAACGTCGAGGCCGCCACCGCATGCAGCGTGTATTGTATACAGTTGTCCTTTTTCCATGCCGGACTGTATGGTTATAGGGTTCAATTTATGAACTCCGTCCTCTATGATTGCGTGTAAGCCGACTTCAGTCGCTGACTGAAATGATTATCATTTGGAGACCATCACCGAAACAAAACACTTACCGTGATGACCTCATCCACGTAATATATGTGCATATCAGGCAGTTGCATTTGCAGGAAATTGCCCGTCTGGTAGCTTTTTCAAATCCTCGGGCACATCATCCATTTCAACCCTTCACTCGCGATGAGAGCTCTGAACTTTCCACATTATTCATTTTTCAAATTTCAACCTTAAAATTGTCTACCTGGCAAAGGACAATCTCCGGCATCCATACCCTTTTTGAACGAACTCTGCTAGTAGTACCTTCTTTCTGGCATGTGGTGCTGAACATTGAAATAGAATTAAAATTTGAAAAAAGTAAAAAGAATACAACCTACTTTTCCAAGTAGATTTCAATATATCGAAAGCAATATCATTGTACAAACGATTCGTAGTGGTTCGAAGAACTTTTGGATCTCTTTTCACTTTTTGGCAAGACTAAAGACAGAAGTAGAAGGAAGCAAAGAGAAAATGAAAAAAAGCTAACCTCGTAAGCAAAACGGTTGGCTTTATCCCTGGTTCTGTTGAGCGGGAGGCAAACGTGATTCAAATGGCAGGAGTCTTGTTGAAAAACATTTTCGATGATCTGATCAACTTTCAATCAATATAGTATTGAGATAATACTTACTGGCTTACCATGACGGATGTGTACTTTCCACATTCTTTGCAGCCATAGCATCTGTAAATCTCTCCTCTGAGAGATGCCAAACGTGCCGCCTGAGCTAGTTCCTCTTGTGCGGGAAGCTTTATCGCTTCGCCAAAAGGTGGTTGCGACTCGTCAAACGATCAAGTTCTTGAAGCGGTGCAAGACGAATGACATCGTCCCACGGTTTCTTTCAAGCAAGAAGTTGGGAGCAATGTGCAACGTCCCCGAAGACCATCCAAAGATCAAGAAAATCTATAGCACGATTTTGGGAGTGATTATCGAAGAAAAACGACGTACATTGTATTCTTGCTTATTGAAATGTAATACCAAAGAGCAGGCATGTCAACGTCTTTTACCTTATCCGACTTGGAGGAGGATTGAGCAAGGCTCGAGATCAATCTGTGCCTCTGTTCGATCTAACGCCAAGTCCTCTCTCTGTGCTAAGTACGACAAACTCTTTGGTGCCACTTTCAAAACTCAAGTGAATGCTGGAAGCAACTTACCCAAACAAGACCGCTTCGACAATGGTGTAGCTCAGAATGAATGTCTGAATGGAATGTCTAAAGTCACAGTGATCGGTGATGTTCAGCTTTCTGATAACGCGTATGAGTTTCTTAGCTTGGGACCTTCGTTTTCTATTGCTCAGAATGTTAATGGGTCGGTTTTCCGCAATGTAGTTGCTGGACTTCAGAGACTTCGAGATCAATTGAGAATGAAGGCCAAGCATAACACAGCAAACGAGATCAGAATGCCACGGAGCCAGCTTCTTCCACCTCCACCATTTCCAAGCCCATTCTATAAAGAGCCGCCTCCTACACCCGAGGCAGATGTCAAGTTTAAAATGTTATCATCAGATGTTTTAGCCGCATACACACGTTCAAAACGGCTACATCGCACGAACTTGACTAATCAGCAATGGCTTGGTTATAAAGAAGTATGTGAATTGGTTGTCAGCAATACTGTACGCATCTCTGTGAGTGATAAGGGAGGGGAGTTCGTGATTTTACCACAAGATCTAGATCGCAAAATCACGCAGCTTCACCTGAGCGACGTTTCGCTTTACCGCAACGTCACAGAAAGAGAGTATGTGGCACAGTACAAACGACTCAATCACGTTTGGATTACTACTGGGAAGTTAGCTGGTCTCAACGAGAGTTTTTTGAGCAGATTAAAGTTAGAAACACCAAGTTGCCCAGTCTTCTATAGTCTTATCAAAACACACAAGCTTTCTCTTGATGATGATACGCGATTGATGACAGCCGAACAGTTTAAAATACGACCAATTATAAGCTGTGTTGGGGGGCCAACCGATAGAATATCTTGGTTCTTGAACAAGATTGTTTGTCAGCTACTGACCAAGGTACCGTCCCATTTATCAAACACCAACCATTTCCTTGAGCGCTTACACAACGCTAAGTTCAACGACGAGTGTGTGGCTGAGTCATTTGATGTGGTATCTCTGTATACCAATGTTCAAAATGACGACGCCTTACAAGCGTTATCCGAAATGTTGGATAAGTTTGGTAAAGACATTCAAACCTTCGGCTTGAGTAGTAACATCATGATTCTGATCAAGGAGTGCTTGAACTGTAACATTTTCAAATGGTCAGGATCTTACTATACTCAGCTAAGAGGTCTCGCGATGGGACAAAGACTTGCGCCAGTGCTAGCGGTCTGCTTTATGAGTAGAATCGAGAACCCGGTGCTGTTAAGACTACCTCTTATGTACTGTCGCTATATCGACGACTGTTGTATCATAACATCCACACAGTCCGAAATGGACGAGTGTTTCCGTTTACTGAACCAACAGTCAGAGTACATAAGATTTACACGAGAACAGCCGACTGACGGGTGGCTCCCATATTTGAACGTGCAATTTAAACTGTCCGGATCTCACGCGATTGTAAAATGGTATCGTAAATCAAGCTCGAAAAACATCTTGTTGCACGCCCGCTCTGCTCATCCTTCAGCCGTCAAACGTGGTGTTATCCACAATATGTTCAAGACTGCAACACAGGTTTGCACGGGAGAAAAGGAACGGAAGGAATCACGAGATTTGGCACTGGACATCGCTAGAGGGAATGGCTACTCGATGCACAACGTACGTAGGCCAGGTACCTCGCATGAGATGCTTCAACGCAACAACAAAATTCCTCTCTGTTTACCTTTCATCTCTGATCGAGTAAGTGTTGCTATACGGCGAAGTATTGAGCGAGCACATTTGAGCAACGATATCATTTTAGTAGACATACCAAGCGCGAACATCAAGAGAAAGCTTGTACGCAACAGACTTTATGACAAATTTTGCATTACAAAAGAATGCAGGGTTTGTCCGTATGGCAATGTTGGCGACTGCGCGAAAGTTGGAGTGATTTACCAGATAGATTGTATAACATGCGGCGCGTCCTACATTGGAGAGACTGGAAGACCGCTAAGTGTTAGACTTAAAGAACATCTAGCCGATAAACGACGTGGCGGTCTAAACTCACCACTCGGGAAACATAGGCATGAACAACATGGTGATGCAGACTATGACATCAAGTGCACGATTTTGGCTTGCGAGACTAACACATCTGCGCGAAAAACTCTCGAAGCATTCTATATCTCACAGAGAAACCCATCGATGAACAACAGAAAGGAATGTTTAACGATCACGAATGACTTCATGCCGTTTATACCGCTATGTGAGCTGTAAACAGTAGTGATTACACCGACCCATAAGCTTCCTAAAATGGCTTATTGGCACTACTGACACCAAAGGACGTGGTTGCACAATACCATCAGTGCTCCAACGGTGAAGCGAAGCGAGGGTTAGTTCGTCTTTCACTTTCTACGAGTAATGTTAGTGAAATCAGTGGGGGGTTCGAAACTAGCTTGAGGTCGATAAGGCATTTGGTGGGGTAGAGCACAAGATCAAAATCTCGCACCACTTTAGGCCTCTGAAGACGACGATAAGTCGAAACGTAAGGCCGCAATAAAGAGCTTCACCAAACCTCGTATGGCATAAGAAAACATTATCACATTCTCCTCTGAGAGTTTTTTTGTGGCGGTGAAAGACGTAGCATCGCATTGATCCGGGTATATCGTAGATGATAACGGGATGTACGCCCAGTGCGCTTGTTTGAAGTTCTCCTCGGAATTCCTAAATAATGCTTTTATATCAAAGCCAAAAAATTTAGACTTACCTGCGTAATAGTCAAACTGGCGTAGTGATTCAGTTGAGCTTGTTGAAGAAGATGCAGCTGGTCCTCCATGTCTGATTTTGATTTGATACGCCTCAGCATTTATATGATTGCGTATGGCACGAAATTGTCCCATATCAATGACCTAGACGCATCGATGTTTGTAGATCAATTGATTTTCTTGTGGCCTGCAATGGCATGCAATCTAGGTCTTTTCGCACCTCAAAGCGTGGTGATGAGAGATTTTAATCGAGAGAGAAATTAGAGAAGAGAGAAATAAATAAAGCAATTAAGGCCGCGGCGCGCTAATTACCACCCAGCTCAGCTGCAAGCGGCTGGTCGGGTATCAATTGATAGGACCCGGGCGTGAGGTGTGGTACGCCACAGCTGGGGGGTCGTTTCGAGGAGTCAAAAAAGGAATGGGGTAGTTATCGAGTAGTACTAATAAGTGATGACATGTTGTTCGTGTCATCGTATACCATAGCATGATAAAGAGGCCATACTAAGCATAACGAGCAACATGTTTATAATCAGCGTGTCAAATAGCCCATGTGGAATTGAGCGAATTCTGGTTTCCACATACCGGGCTACCTGATTGAAATGGTCACTTTCGTACACAATTAACTTCAATTTAAAGGTGAGTTAGCTATATTTTTGGTGCTCAGTACAAAGCAGTACTCCTTTTTTACCCATCTTGAAAATCTCGCTCCAAAAGACCTCTGAATGTGGATTTAGAAGCCAGTTGAAATCTCGTTTTCCCATTTTTCGGTTTTGGTGGATGTGTTTCACCAAATGTTACTGAGAGCAAAGAAGAGAAAACGAGTTAGGCTCAAATCGCCCCCTGGAATCTAAGATGTATAAGCGTCCAAGTGTTCTCATTTCATGTCCAGGTCTTCACTATTGAGAAGAAAAATTCTTCGAACAAAAGCTCTCAAGACTGTCAAGGCTTATGAAAATTCATCACCTGCACTTGCCATGAGTCGTTTATAAAATACAGAAGCCACAGAACGGAACAAAGTCGGTCAAGAGAAGAAAGCATTAAAATTTTCTTTGGAAGCTGAAAAAGGCGCACTGAAAGCATGCGTTGAGGGCGCGCAGAGCTACTATGAGAAGCTGGCAAGGACACACACTATAGCACCAACAAAGCTTTGCTAATTTTACGTGATTGCGTTTGTCTCGAAATATTGGAAGAAATTCTGGTTAGGTGAAGTCATAGCAAAAACAGTGGCTCAACATTCGAGAAGTTTCTACGCAACTGTAAAAAATCGGTCAAAACGGTGGAAAAAAGGAAAGCTGCGCTAAACACTGTTTGGAGAACTTGTCTTCATTATTCTTTCCAATTAGCGAAAGATTGAATAAAAAGGTAAAAAATTCTCATTAGAACACTTTTAGCTCAGTTTAATAGTCATAAGGAATTAGGTAGTTTCATACAACCTCGGACACGCGGATTCAGTTGCGACACCTTCTGCAAATTTGCACGATATCTTCAAAACTTAGGCTCGTATGCACATACATCCCGTTAGGGAGGGTAGGGGATGCGTCATATCTTGCTATTCTAGAGGCCGCATGCATTAACATCCCGCTGGGAGGGATCGCATGTACTGTTCGTCTAACCCAACGATGCTAAGCATGTTGCTGATAAGAACAAATGAGTGTTTGCAATATCGAATTTTTCGAAACCAACTTTCGACTTATGGTTCATCGTATTTATGAGTCCAATATCACAACTACACATCTTTGTTCTCATTAGAAACATGATTAGCTCTGTTTGGTTAGATAATCAGTGAAACTTTAGCACATTTTCGTTAACTCTGAAGAGGAATCATGACCTTGAAAAAAAAGACGGTCGGGCGCTGGGGATCATCAGGGGATCATGCAGAAAGCTAGGCTTGTATAGCATGGTGCCCTGTATAATATGTTCACGGTGAAGGATAGTAGAAATACTAACGGATAGGTAGACAACGTGAAGTCCAGATATCTTTTTCAGGATTTAAAGCTTTTTTTAAATCTGCAATTCCCTTCTTAGCGGGGAATTTAATGCATGCGACTTAGGTATCTTTCTTCCTCTTTCTCTATCTTGCTTGTGAAGGTTCTCATACCCCTATACCCTGCGCATATTGGATACCAGGTACTGCCATACAAGATTGGTTTTTTGCAGTTTTGTGTGATTCCCTGGAGATCAGCTCTCATTTTCAAAGTCATCTATTTTTCTGGGAAGTCAATGAAAATGCTGCACAATTGTACTGAGGTTATACTACGGCACTGCTAAACATGTTTATAGAAGAGATAAGTGAAATTTAAGGATATCGAAATCTTCGATGAGAATCTGCTCGCGAGCCAGGGATCATCGAAAAATTCACAGTCCTCAGGTTCCATCTTTCCTGTCGAAAACATGCTTAGCAGTGCCGTTAGTATATCCTCAGAACATTTTGCAGGGTTTTCACTGATTTCTCAGGAAGATAAATAACCTTGAAAATGAGAGATAATCCCCAGGGCAGACCCTGGATGGGATCACCAAAATGGCAAAACAATCTTGTATGGAAACAACCTGGCATTCATTATGCGCAGATATAAGTGTATGAGGACCTTCATAAGTAAGAAAGAGAAAGAAGAAGGAAAGCTTAGAGTAGCGAGATATGACGCATCCACTCTCACAAGGGAAGGATACTTGTCGAAGTGGCGTTTCTGTATGAAATGTATACCTTTTCATATGGCATGAAACGCTGATTCCAAATCCGCTTTCGGTACCTGCAAAGCGTTTCTGGGAGGGGAGTTCTGAGAGCTTTTCGCAAACATTTCAACGCGTAAATACAACAAAATAATTCAGAACTGTACTCGTGAGCTTAGATGGGGCCATGATCACTGCCAGGACGCTTTATGTAGTTAAGATCTTCAGTTTCACAAACATATGCTATTCACCACTTCTTTCAAGGGCTGGGCGGACCTCAACACTTTTTTTCGGCTTAGCCGAACCCTTAATTTTTGCCTTAAAAAGTTTCCATAACTACCCTCCAAAGAAGCGCTTTGCAGATATCGAAAGCAGATTTAGAATCAATGTTTCATGCACTATAAGACGATTTATCTTTCATATGAAAAGTCCACTTCGACCAGGTATCCTTCCCTTGTCAGAACCCCTTCCCTCCCCAGCGGGGATGTACGTGCATACGGGCCTTAGAGACTACAAGTGCATTGTGTACAGGGTGGGGCAAAAGTCTGGGAGCCTAATACTTTTCCACATAAAATCAGAAGGAAAGTACCTAGAAACAAAAAGTTTGGTGCACATATAATTCGAACCTTTGCAGATATAGAGCAGCTCTCAAATTTTGAGATTCCCTCGTTTGGCTTCAAAGCAGCCCTTCGAAATCTTAGCGAGTCCGCCTCTCGTGGCACGCGAGCAGTCGTGGTAAAATTTGTCCTACGCCCTCACAATAACTGCTTTTTTCATTGGGCAAGTGTGCAGTATGATAAAGTAAGCCTTTGGCTACAACATATTACGAGAACATTTTTTGCAATATTTAGGGAGAAGGTTTTGGAATTTTGCATAAAGGCAAGTGTACTCGCTTACTGGAAATATTGGATGCGATTGCGCGAACGAGAGCGAAAAATCATAATTTAAGAAGTATAGAAACTGTTCTATCTATCGAATTTTAAATAGATCCTTATATAGAAGACTCGTGGAGAGTATATAGCTTGAAATTCAGTACCTGCTGCGCTCCTATAGCTAGCTTTCAAATCTATTTTGAAGACGAATGGCCACTAACACGCAGGTGATATTCGCAAATTTTTATTTTGCGTTTTGGAAAGAGTAGTTTCTGGCAAACGCAACTACTACGATCTGATAGCGCAAAGCCTCCTCTACACCATATGCATCAAAGCGTTTCAAGATATTAACTGTGGCTTCAGTTACGAAATAAATGTGGACTAGAATTTCTAATTTTTTCGCCCTGCAAAAGCGTTTGTTTGATAAATCCAATTTTTACAAAAACATATGGCAAGCATTTTTAGCTAAGTAAAGTGCGATTTATAGAGGATGATCGCAGCATTATGTGGCACAAATTTGAAATCGAATACATAGGTAGTTTCATAATTTACAACACTCCAAAATCGGCTCCCAGACTTTTGCCCCACCCTGTATATAAATCTTACAGGTTTATGAAATCTATACCGTCTCCACCTTCAGATTGTGAACAAGTGTTAAACAAACGGAGTATTTAGATCGCGTAGCGACTGGAACTGCGTAAAGTTTAATTTTTTTCGTAAAGCTTTTTAAGAGCCCTTCTGCTCTACAATACATGGCCAGGAAGAAATGTGGAAATGCGGGTGCCGAAATTTGTCAATTTTTGATGTCAAAAATCCTGCTCTGTGAAGTCATGGAAGTGTATTGGAGTGTCCAAAAACAAATAACTCTTTTGAGCGGTAAAGCTAATTTGCCGTAAGCCAGCTTGACGAGAATAAAAAGAAAGCTACAAGGTGGGTAGAGGATTATATGTAGCCGAAAGAGGGCGCTTTCGCGGTCATTCGCAACAAATACGCGCCCTTGGACATGCACGGAACTGCGTTTTTGCAAGAAGCCCACGCGGACCCTCCCACATCCGTTCATATAAAACAATGTTCAGAATGCAACTTCTACTAGATTGGTTTCTGGTTTACCGCTGGTTTCGTGCTTGTTGCGCTACGATTTTCGCACTTGATGCATGAAGGGCCGGGAGTTGCAATGTCAACTGTTGGCTAAACATCACTGCTCTCCAGTGGCGGCCCCGGGATCTGCTCTCGGAGAGGAAAGGGGGGGGGGGGGGTGGATGTCGCCACAATCTTTTTTCGATTAAATTGCGTGGCGTAGTCATGCTCACCATAAATTTTCCCTAAAGTTTTCCGAAGTTTTTCCTACCATGACCTCCGAGTTCTAGAAAGGGAGGCATAGCGGCAACTGCACCCACAAAAGAATTTTTTTACAAGGATTCGAATCAAAAAAATTCAAAAGTCGTTGTGACTTTATATAAGCATGACAAGTCAATTTGCACAATTTTATAACTCATTTAAGTAACTTTCAAAAATTTGCGACCCATTTTCGGGGAAAGAATGTCCTCCCCCCCCCCCCCACCCTCGTCCGCCAGTGATGCCTCATATGTAGCCGAAAGAGGGGCTTTTGTACCTTAAAGCCCGGGATCCGAAAATGAACGGCAAGAATGAAAAGCTTTCTATCACAAGTGATCTATTGCCGTATCTTGCGTTACGCGAACTAAGAGACAGCTGATCTATACTTAAGCAGCCTCAAACTGTTCCGACTGCTCATTTCGTCACTGCAATCCATCGAGCAAGTTCTGAAGCAGATAACACTACTATCGGTGATACACTCGGTGGGTAGATTTCTACGTCCAGCCTCTCGTTCTTCATCATAGACGAATCGAGTACGCAGATGGGAGGAGGGCTTGGCAGCAAGTAGAGTGATATCAACGTGACTTACACCTTTCCAGGCCTTTGAAGACGGTGTGTAACCGAAACTTCAGGCAATAAAGTGTGTCATCATCAAAAACCTGGACGGCACAGAAGATTAAGTGAAGTTTACTAGAATGCCCAGGTTACAAGAAAAGAGGACGTTTGACATAGGATCTTATTCTTTTCTTCACAGTCTGCGGTTTGAAGTGGGAAAAGTGATTTTTATCGACTCATTTAAAGAACAAACATGCTGAAGCGAAACCAAATCCTACACATCTATCAGTATACTGTGGCGCATTCATGTGACTCCATCGCATGCTTGTCAGTTCATCGCTTTCGCTCTCGTTTTTTCATCTGAAATAAGCAACTCAAAATCAAGCGAAACGAGACTTGAAATAGAGAGAATAAACCTTCGAAAATCATGGTGAGTAGGGGAAATGAACTTTCACTTCCTTCTTAGCAATATCGGAAAGACTGTGGTAATAAGTATAGTGGCTAAACGAAATAGTGAATATAGCTTCTTCCTATGTTCAGGAAATAAACACACTGTCTAACTGCCTTCCTGACATCCTCCAGCGATAGCTTTTCATCTCCGAAAAAAAGCTGAGCATGGATTTTACGAGTGTCTCCGATAACCTAGGATCCATAAATCGAATAGGAACGAAGTGTCGAAAAATATGAAAAAAAAGCAGGTTACGCTAGTTGTTTTGTATGCTATAACTAACACCCATCACAACACAGGTGTGGTCTATAAACGATTAAAGCCTGCGCTTGCTAAATCTTACTAAATGCTTACTTTCTTCATGTAGGCCTTTGCTTCATCACTGAGCGAATTGATTCTAGACTTTACGAATTCGTAGAATTTTTTGGTCTTTTCGTACAAATTGGGTGATATCTTCTTTAGTGCCACCAGAAACTAAAATGGTAGGATTTTGTTGGTAAAGCATGTACCTAGAATATTTTTCTGACCTTCTCCTCATTTTTATATTTTTTCTCGTAATCCTTCATGAGTTCTTCCACAGCGGCTCTCTCTTTGGCATCCAGTTTTTTGAGCGCTCTATCGGGAATGAGTTTTATCTTCATGCCCACATCCTCTTCGAGAGGATGTGGGCATGAAGATAAAACTCACACACGAAGTGCAAGCGAAAATGCAGGCGATGATGATACTTACTCTAAGCATGCTGAAATGTTACCTGCCATAAACACAACTCAAGAATGAGAACGCACTACGAAGATTTTTATGATCCATTCCAGTTCAACGCAAAGATAAACTATTTTTGTAAACTAGTTTTTTGAAGCAGAGATCCGGTTTTAGATGTAATAATCTTGTATAACATAACTCTTGCACCAATACAGCTTCGCAGTAAATCATAGTCTTTTTGCTTTCTACGTAGGTGTCGTAGTACCCTTTGATAGAGCAGAGCCTCTACAAGATATCTTCCATACACCAATTTTGATCCATGCAAAATTTGTTAATATTCAAAAAGATTCAAAGACCGAAAGTCAAGACAGATCAAAATGTCCGGAAAAGGAGCCATGAGGGTGCAACTGAAAATATACTTCTCGCATCAGGCATTCATATGTACAATCAGAGTATTTCCTCTGTATACTATCAAAAGAACGAAAAAAATCATGTTTTTGTTGAAGATTCTCGATAGTTTTTGATAACTAGCTCATGTAAGAGGCTACAAAACCGTGGCTGTACTTCTGAGGACTGTGATAAACGATCACCGGCGTTTAAATATTAGGTTGTCAAGAAAATAATGTCCGTTTTTATTTGCTTGCTTTGACAAAGCAACCAGACTCAACCCAACAAAGGGTAAGGCGTACTGTTCGATAGAGCAAAGCAAGCTCTACAAGATGGCACTCATGTCTTTGCGCCACGCTCGATCCACGGAGAGTTCGAACTCAAAACCTAAAGATTTCCAAATGCCCAAAAAATCGAAAAAAATCAGATTTTCGTCCAAATAATTTCTACGGACCTCCCACTCGCTCAAATCAATACTATCGATATTTGATATCCATATGTGCGATTGCCGTATTTTTTCCTTGACTAGAAACAGGAAAAACGAAAATTTCCCTGATTTTCTCAAAGCAAAGCTGAGCCGTTTTTGCATATGTAATTCTATACTACGGGCCTAGGTAAGCATGACTGTAGGTTTTCAGCCTATTTCGAGCGGTACTTTTCGAGAAATGTCGATTTTAGCACTGGAACTGAAACGAAAAAATCCGAATTCGTTATTTTTCGAAAACTAGCGCTTGGAATGGGCTGAAAATCTACAGTTATACTTACCTCGGCTTGTAGTATAGAACTACATATGCAAAAACGGCTCAGCATTGATTTGAGAAAATCAGGGAAATTTTCGTTTTCTCAGTTTCTAGTCAAGGAAAAAATACGGAATCGCACATATGGATATCAGATATCGATAGTATTGATGTGAGAGAGTGGGAGGTCCGTAGAAATTATTTGGACGAAGATCTGATTTTTTTCGATTTTTTGGGCATTTGGAAATCTTTAGATTTTGAGTTCGAACTCTCCGTGGATCGAGCATGGCGCAAAGACATGAGTGCCATCTTGTAGAGCTTGCTTTGCTCTATCGAACAGTACCCTTTACCCTTTGTTGGGTTGAGTGTAGTTGCTTTGTTAAAGCAAGCAAATAAAAACGGACATTATTTTCTTGACAACCTAATAGCTCACAGACTGCTTTGATATGAACATGAAAATTCAACAAAGCAAAAAATACGACGAGTGTACGGATGACTGTTTGACACAAAGAGGAGCCTTGCAGATTTTTTGACGGAACAACAATTTTCTCGGATCCTGGGCACTTGGATCATTTTTAATTACAGACTTCGAACTGCGCGTGGATACGAAATATTGTTATTTGAAGATATTTTGTAGAGCTTGTTTGCCCTGAGAATGGTATCAAATCCCTTCTAATATAAGAAGAGTATGGCTTATCGAGGTTTTGACTCGTTGTGCAAGGCTTACGTTACAACCTAATATTTAGATTTTTTCTCTAAGCTTTGCGTAATTCACATTTTATGCGAGTCTTTTGTGGTCAATTCATAATGCTTGTTTTGTCCTATCGTAAAGTTTCCCACATACATTTTTGGAGCTTGCCTTGCTGTGGGCCAAAAAAAAACAACAATTTTAACAAACATTTCGCTAAATTCGTATTCATTCTATTCATTCCGTATCGAATGATACTTAATGTTAGTATCAAAGCCAAGTGACTGTGAATTGAGACGGCGACTTATGAGAATCTCACAATTTTCAGTATGAAAGTCAAGCAGTTAAATCAAAGCGCATACGAAAAGACAACAAAGCTAAAGTCAATTTCGTGGTAGGAGAGTTATTCGTTGAAAGTGTTAGTCGTGAGATGAACACTTTCGGCAAATGAAAACTCTGATTGTGCTACAGTCAAGTACTGCCTGGCTTGACTTAGCAAATGACATGTGTGTGGTGCGTATGTGTCCTATATATCTACATCTTTTTTGAGAACTGAGGATTTATGATTGTCGCAAACGACGTTTGCGTTGAGAGATTGTTGAAGGAGCACATGCATTATGTACATATCAGATTAGCACGTTGACGATAACGAGCATTTATAGTTGCCTTCCTTGCGGGCAATGCCTTTCACGAATGAATCAAAAATTTCTAGCTGAAACCACGCAGATGGCCATCTACAGTATGACTGCAATCCCAAGAAGCGGTCAAGAAACGCGCAAGCAATTTTCAGGACCAGAGCGTAAGAAAACTTCTGAAACACTTGCACCCTAACCGTGTGGGTCACATTGCCCTAAGTGGCAACAGTTGCATGACATCAAGTGATCACGTTTTCGCCAATTATTGAATCACATAGTTTCAGAAATGGCCCATCTTATGAACAATAAGTGCTGCTATTATCAAATCATTAAATTGCCTGTTGTGTGAGAATACATACGATGCCGCCCGTAATCTGTGAGAAAAAACCCGCACTTCGCCGGGGTTCGCCAAACTCTGCTTTGCATCCCTTGCTTCAGGGTGGACGAACTATGAATCCAAAAGCACCATTCATTCAGCTCGACGAGATGCATCTTCTAACGTATGAAAGTGTCTACTTGGGCGCAACAGCCGGTCATATTTCAAGATGTTTCCAAGTCTTTGCTTACGGTAAGGTGATCGTTGTGTGATGAGAACAGTCCGAGCAACATGCCAAAGCTACCTGGGTTCGTAAAACTTTATCGATTATAGTACTAAAACAGGCACTTTTATAAATCAAAAGATGCATCTCTCGAGCTGAGTCAAATGGTGCTTCCAGATTTAGAATTGGTGCAGTCTGAAGCAAGATATGGCAATGCAACACGAAGTTCGGCGAACTTCGGCGGAGTATGGTGATTTTTCTTCACAGACGAGCGGTATAACACCACTGTGACTTCAATAGGCGATGCTAAATATTAAACTGTTTCGAAAGTTTCAGTCGTTTCTTGTACTCTCTCTGTTGCTAGTTATAGAGAAAAACCATCGAACATATGCCCCGTATTCATCTTGAACCTCCATTTTACGCTTTCTTTCAAATGTATCCTCCTCACAGAGCTCCTCATCTGTATTGAACACCTTGAAAGGACAACATAGCAAGGTGTTTTTACCTTTTTGCTCCGGATTGTGAGTCTCGCAGCCAATGGAGCAAGGTTCGAATCACGCTTAGGCGTCATCTCTTGCTGTTGTGGTGCATTCTTTGGAATTTTCGCAGCATCTCATTTGTGAACTTCCGCAGGTGACAGATGTCGATTTGACTCCAGTAAACCGATTCTGGCCTCTGAGACTGACTCTAATAAAACGCAATTTACAGAGTTTCTGGTAGAATTTTTGTAAATATAAAAGCCCAAAAGATTAGAAAACTACAAGTAAAGCAGTATGCGCAATAGAGAGCTCTTGAATCAAATGCTCAGACAATTCACCGGAACTTCCGCAGGACAAGCAGGATTTGCAGCGATTCCGCAGCTCTTTCTTAACCATTGAGAAAGTGCACGCTTCATTATGCAGGGTTTCAGCAGCAAATTGCCGTTAGAGAGATCGTAAACCTGAACTTCCGCAGCACTCTCCATAAAGCGCTGCGAAAATGCAATGAGGCTCGTAAGGTTACCACAGCACTTTGACCTGCCAGCATTTCCGCAGATTTTCGAGAGCGAGCACTTGCGATTGCGAAATAGCGAACGCATCTTTGCCAACGCCAACGGCGTTTGGGTCTGTTTCTTTTCTTTTTTTCTCTTATTTCCTCAATTCCTTCGATGCTGGCGTGATTGAACTTTTCCATGTTTTAATTAGTACTCTTGCAAGTATCGGTGCAACTGAATAATCATCACCAAGCTGCTGGAAACTGAAAAAGGACTTAGAGGAGGGGCTTCATTGAAGCAAGACGCTCTCATTCAGGTATGTCCATTCTCTTTGCTTTATTCGAAACTGATAGTTTGCGAAAATACCGTGAATAATAATCTAATAATTCCTGAGTAAATTGGAAATACCGGTAGAAATATCAGTTGTTTCATAATTAATGCAAGTTTCTGAACTCGGTTCTGATCACAGTAACTTTTCCCTGAAACGATCTTTTCCAAACAGCAATAAAAACTGCTGCAAACGGTAAGGTTTTGGCTACAACACAAACTGTTTTATAACTACAATCACGAGAGAAGGTTAGACCAAAAGTTGCTACAAAATTTTTCGGGAAACCTCCAATTTAAAGGAACGTGACTTACTTCCAGATGCACTAGAGTGATGCAAATCATGTTCAGTGCAAAGCCTATTCTCTTCAAGCAGTGCAGTAGTTGCGAGGATTGCAAAAAAATTGGTAATACTCGCTTTTTCGACATTTTGGAGGAGACAAAAATTTGGTTTTTATTATACTTTTTATTTTTACTCCGTTGGAAAGTGGAAAACCCTGCCGTTTCTATAAAACTAAGTACTGAGTCTATCCCTGTTTTATAGTGCAGAAGCTTTGCAATTGCTTTTTGCTTAAGTTTTCTACAAGGCTCAGAAGGGCCCCAACGGCTGCTCAAATTTGCCATAAAATATTTCAGCTGAAGGTCTTTCGCATCAAGGAGCACAAAATCTCGCAACGCACGCTTTTGAGAAAGAATTCTTTTTTTTCGTGGATTTAGGACAAAGAGAGTAAAAGGTAAAAATTTTTTAGATTGACCTCTTATCTTCGAAGACTCTAAACTTCAAGATAAAAATTTGAAGCGACAGCATAGATAAGAAACGCTTTTTAAGGTGTCATGAAAAGTTTCCGAGAGAATGGTTTGCTTTGAAAACAGCGCTGTGAAGAAAACGTAAGTAAAACCTACATCAGTTATACATTAACCTAAAATATTAGGTTGCCCCGAAAGTTCTTTTCAATTTGTTATAAAACTTGTTTGTACATATATATGGTTTGCCGCACTACTACCGTTTTTCATGTCTTTCTTCTATCCTTTCTGCTCCTACTGCTTTAAATGCTTTTTTTTTTCTCACACAGAACTCTCTTCTCACAAAACCTCACACTTCACAAAGAAATTTTCTCTTTAATTCAAATATTGTGAAAATGAGGAACTAATAATTTAGAATAATAACAGAAGTAGTATGAAACTAATATTTTTTGAATGATATTAGGTTGAACCGAAAGTTGTTCATAACATTTCCAAAAAATCGTAACTTCTTACGATAATCTTGCACGAAAAAATGACATTAGGTAGAACAAAGCGTATATTTTCTTACTTTTCATCTTAGCTGCTATTTACTAAGCTTTGTATGCAGAGATTAAGTAAAAGGAAGTTTCCTTCAATTATTGGGAATTTTAAGAAAAACCGGTTAAAAATTCCAAAACTGTGTCATAAAATCCAAAGCAGGCATTAACCTTGGTTTTTTGACCCCCTCTTTCTAGCTGAGCAAAATTCGTGTTGATCGAGCTCTTTTAAAAAGTTATTATTTTCGAGAAAGAATGCTTAAAAATCAGTTCCTCAAGAAAATTGATATTTTGACATTATTCTCCCAAAAGTCATAACTTTTCAAGGAACAGCTCAATGAGCGCGAATTTTGCCTAGTTAGGGAGCCTCCAGACCGCGCCGGTTGTCGCTTTGGCAGCCGGTAGCTGCTTTCGCGCCGGTTGCCGCTATTGCAGCCAGAGCGCATCGGGTCAGATTTTGCCCGTGAAGCACGTAATGCGGAGGAGCGTTTGTACCAACGCGATACTTGCAGGGTTTATTGGCTCTTTTCTAGCCATTCTTCGTCAGAAATAGTGATTTGTTTTCTTTTTTCATGGACCTTGTGCAATCTTAGGGAATTTCCATGGAACCCAATCGACAACCGCTGCCGACTGTGCCTGATTTTGGAAGTTTGTCGAAAGATTATGGGCAGCCGCTGATTATTCACTTCTACAGCGATCTGCACGGCAACAGAGTATCGCGCATTGGTGGTGAGTGTCTTTTTATTTCTATTTGCACATCCAAAATTCTGTCTTTTCTCAGATTTTCAAGATGTTCCCATTGTGGAGGCTGTTAGAGCTTCGAATGCACAACCCGTTTACACACATAGCATCAATTTCGTTGTGAGCATAGACCGCTGTGATGAGGATGAAATATCATACATTTTGGTGGGTTTTCCTGGTACAGGACAGATTGTCCACTTCAATGTTAGCAGTGCACAAATCATTACAGCCAAAGTTGCGTCTTCTTCTCTTTCGCTGTCGTATAAATTTTACTGTCAACGGTGGGAGCGATGTGTGCTTGAAATGGACGACTACAATCATGCAGTCAAGATAGTGGAAGTGATATCCGAATTCGCAGACAACTTAGTATTTCGCAGATTGTTCAGTTAGACCTTGGGCGGAGTTCACGCGATTTCATCGCCTCGCGATTCTTCCGACAAGACACCAGTTACGAGTCCGTTGCATGGTAATCATCTTGCATTTTCATTGTGATAGTTAGGTTAGTCGCGGTTAATCGTGTCGGGAAACTATCACAACCGAAATGCAAGATGATCGGCATACAATGGACTCGTCACTGTTGTCTTGTTGGAATCGCGAGGCGATAAAATCGCGTGAACTGTGCACAAGGCCTTAGCATAAAAATGATAGAATTTAGGGTCTTTGATCTCAACATAGGATCGTACAGCATGTGAAGGAAACAACGAATTTGTAAGGTTAGCATCCATCGTAATAGCACGTCCATTTTCTCAAAATGCATTTTCTTCAGATTATAGAGTAAGAAGCTCTTCATATCGTGCAGTTATTAGAGGGATGGCTTCCTAAATGTTATACTACTTTGAGGTAATTTGAAATTCTTTCGAGTAGCACGTTCTTAGGATGTCTCTAAGTCATGTCGGTTTTTTTCAAATCTGTTTCACTTATTCCTAGTTTGGCGAAAGTGCAGATAAGGTATTCACATATAAAAAAGACCTTTTTTTCAATCAAAGTTTTCAACATTGTTATTAAAGCGACTAAGAAGTCTTTGTAGAGATTTTATACAGCAATTTGTTCTCAAGGGCATCACATCTGTGGCGCAAAGCCTAGCAATCCAGCAGGACCTAGAATTTGGCGTTAGGTGAGGAAAAAGCTAGATAGCGATTGCTTGGTGGCAGTGTTTTTGGCTTTTTTGACATCCCTGGAATTGTTGAACGAGTGCGGGTCAAGCATATTCGAGCAGTCATGTTGACGCCGATTAGCTAATTGAGTGCAATCTTGGTACAGATTTAAAAACCAGCTCTGCAGAATCGCTCAAGTTTCTTTCCTTCATGTGATGTGAAGATGTCGTCTAATTTGTTATAAAGTGATGGCACTAGGTGTAAGCTCTAACCAGTTGTGCATGCAAATTATCTTGTAAACAGTTGCTGATTAAGGATTTAGTTACTCTACTCTGGAGATCTTGTAATGTGTCGAGTGTGAGAAACTGACCACTTAAGTTGCTGGAATTATTTTGGCAGCTCAATTTCTGAATTCTAGATGTTGCAGATGTCTTCGCATATTCGCTTTCATCCGCCTTGATGCAGTGGCTACAGGGATAGCCTAGGAATAGATACGTCGCGGTGGTACCGCGTTCAACTCACTAGAACGATCAAGAGAAGCAACCGTTTATCGGCGCGATCATCAAAAAAAAGAAATGAGCAACGAAAAAGAAAGAGCTCAATGTGAACACGAACAAAAACAAAACAACGACTGATTGCAACACTGCCCTAATGGGCGGATACAACTCGTGGTCAAAAGTTTTGGCGCGCTTTCGCAACACCATTGATCTTCAGCAAGTGAATGCAAGAACCCTCAAGATAGCTACCGCGCATAGACAATGAGATGCAAAAGAGATCCACAATGAGTAACAAAAGAACGACAAAGTAACAAGAAAAGGACAAAACACAAAACAACATTGCCTAATGGCTTACCTAAGAAACTCAGTGAAGCGGATCTAACCTAGTCAAGAAAATCAGAGATACCGTATACCAAAAAAATGACAACACCGGTACATCTCCCCCCTACGATGAGTGTCGTCTCTGACACTCAAAAAGGTCTGAATCGGTAACCGGTAATCGGTAATCGGTATCTTCCTCGTCCTCGTACGGGTGCATTCCTTGGACGTCCATAAGGGCGGCCACGTCCATGTGGCTCCGGTCTATATCCCGTTTCTCCGTGCGGTCCGCCATCTGAACCTCGAGCTTGCGGGTGATGTTCGGATCGGTGTTGTGGCAAGGAAGAACTTGAGTGTTGTTCGAATTCATTATATGAGTGACTGCTATGGTGGTGACGTTCCGTTGGATGGTGTCGACTTCCCTTCTGTTTGGGTACTTCCGTAAGTGGTTCTAGGGGTACGTCCCCTTTTACATAGTCAACCAGTTTACTTAAGAAGTCCCAGATTACTGCGTGCGGATATCCACTTTCTTCGTCTTTCCTCGCTCTTATGCCAACTGCCAATGCGGGCTCAGACACAGATGGAACGTGTGCTATCTTTGTAACAATGTTGGCTCTGGTCGCGTATGCGGCGTCCCTTACTGTATTCATCATGTCTGTTACCTTCAGCCGTGTCGATTCCCAATCGGGTCCACCCCTTGGTGGTGCTACAGCTACAATCTTGGAGCTGGCCCGTGCTACGCTTGTAAAACTTAGACTCAATCTCATCCATTGTCCTTCAGGTGGCGTTTCATGTGATGTGGGTCCGACGAAGATTATATTGTACGGTTCTTGTAATTCTCGGAGCTTCTTGCATATGTCTGAGAGATTCTTATAAATGAATGCCGTGGTTTGTTCTCCGAACTGCACTGCGTAGTACCATGTGAATCCTGTCGGGAGCAAAAACAGAGATTTTTTCTTCTTCTTTTCGACTTTTACGTCTGTCCAAGAGTGCGTCGTGGCGAATCTGACTTTTTCGTTAGTCTATACGTTGACTTGGTCGATCGACAATCCCACGTTTCCTTATGTCTCATCATTAGGGTGCTTCCATTGTGGCGCATCAAATCGCGCATGGTGTGGAGGCAGTGCCGTTTGAAATAGACATATGCTTTCTGTGATCCAGATGTTGTGACGAAGACGTGATTCTTGTCTCTCATCAAAAAATTCCTTCTATCGGCATCTCTTTCCTGCTCGAAGGTGGAGATGTAGCGAGCTAGTGAAAATATGCTTGTTATCGGCAGTGTCGCAATCACTGGATCTGTTCCGGGCACAACGTCGCCAAACGTCTTCCCACGTATATCACAATCCAAATTATCATCTCGTGGTCCAGGACAGATGCGAAACAGACTCAATGCCGAATTATCAGTCTTCGATGCCGTGGCCCTGCAAAAAAGTTTTACTATCACTATGGGCAACCTCTAACTTCTTTCTACTTCATCTTTTAGTTTTGTTTACTAATGGGGTATCCTCTATTTCTTGAGGAACTTTTATCAACATATCATGCTGAGCTCTAATGGGTTCGTCGTTACTATTGAGACGCGACAAGAGTGCGGAATTATCACTGACTTCTAACACTTTATAAGGTCCACTCCAGTCATTACAAAATTTAGGATATTTCTCAGCTCCTTTTTCACGTAGCAGTCTCAAAAAAAAAAACCCCTATCACCTATGCAGAGATAATCTTCTCTTTCAACGTTGAACCTTTGGTCATAACTTTGCTTCATTTTTCTCTCATTTGCAAATTACGCTCCGAACCGACCTTTGAATCAATTCAATACTAGTTAGAAGCTCATGTTTGTAATCATCTAAGTTGAGATGATTGAAAGAGAGCTCGTCTGGCGGCATTACCTTTGACGGGAATCCAGGGTCAAAAGCGTGCAGAATATAAAAGGGGCTTTCCCCAGTTGAATCATGGAGTGCTGAATTATATGCAAAAATTATTATGGGCAATAAGGTATTCCATTCAGCTATTTTCAGCATCTTGGTCAGTGTGCCGATCGCTCTTTCTGTAATCCCATTTTCACGTGGGTTGTAACCTTTCGTTACAGACTGCTGCATACCCATCGTGGCACAGATTTCCGACAGAACACTGTTCACAAACTCCGGCCCTTGATCGGAGTTATGGCTTTGGGCCAGCGACGACCTCCGCATACCCATCTCTCAAAGAACGCCCTTGCAACTGTTTCTGCTTTCTTATCCGCTATGGGATATGCTCCTGCGAATTTGGAGAAATGGTCAATCACTACAAGTGCATATTTATTTCCTCTTTCTGTCAGCCCCAGCTCCACTAGGTCCATGCCCACCAGCTCAAACGGCTTGTTTGTCACGAATGGCTTCAGTGGAGGGATATTCTTCTCATGTGCTCTCGTCACGAAACACTTCGTGCAAGCCCTCGTCCACTTGGCTATGTCTTCTTACATTCCATTCCAGAAGAAGTCTTTGCTTAACTTCCGGTACAACTTCTTAGCGTTGAGGTGCCCTGCTAACGCACCTGCATGCGCTTCATCGAATAGTTCCTTTCTTTTTGATTTTTGGACTACTTTCAGTGCTTTGTCCCTTATCATTATCATAAGCAGTCCTTCGCTTATGAGGAAATCTGCAATATGCAGCTTTTTCCCATATCTTGGTAGTTGGATTTCTCCGTCCATTCTACCCTGTTCGAGCCCTTCGACTACTTTCGCGTTCCGTATCATGGCTCAACTCTTCCACCATTCCGTTTTGGTTTGTGCCTGTGCCGTGCACACTATGGCGGCATTTTCTTCGCAAAACGCGGGCGACAACGCGTCCGCTACTGCATTTGTGTTCCCTTTTACATAATGGATCTTCAAGTTGTACTTCTGCACTTCTAGAGCCCATCTCAAGATTCTGGCAGAGATGTTGCTTCTTTTAAACAAACTTGTAAGAGGTAGGTGGTCAGTCCTGACTATTGTTTACATTCCATATACGAAGAAATGGAACTTCTTCAGCGCGAAAACGAGAGCTAAAGCCTCCAAATCCGTGATGTGGTATTTGGCTTCGGCTTTTGTTAGTCCTCTCAAATAGACATGATGTAGCATCTTGTCAGTACTTTCTTGACAAATTACTGCGCTTAGGCCTTTTGTACACGCATCCGTATATATGATAAATGGATGTGTTCCTTTTCTTGCTGACGCGACATTCGGTTGCGCTAGTACTGGCGCCGTACACAACTTTTGTTTCAAACTGTTGAACGAATCTTCTTGCTCCTTTGCCCATTTCCATGCATTCTTGGGACTTGTGAGCATGTAGAGTGGTTTAGCTATCTTTGAAAAATTCAGTATGAATTTTTGGTAGTATGCTGCCATACCCAGAAAAGTACGAAGTTCCTTCAACTTTGTTGGGGTTGGGTATTCAGCAAGTCCCCCAATC